AGGTGATGTAACCCACCTGTCCAGCAGGAGCACCCTCCCCATCCCCCTTCATGCCTTTCAGCGCTTCATGACGCTGAAGTCAGATTCTTTTTCACCAGTTTCTTGTTTGAAGTTTCCTGTTCCACCTTAAATGGTGCAGCAGTTACATTTAGGTGCCTCAGACGCCAGAATGGAACTGCTGCGTGATTTAAGGTGGAACGAGAAAATGCAAGTAGGAAACCAACTTCAGCTTCATGAACTTGCGGTGGTCTTTCCACCATTGAAACACCTCACTGTTAACTCTAGGAGGTCTCTTTGCTGAAACACCCTTGTCTGATCTAAGAACTTCTTTCTCAGACTGTGTTCTTCAGATTTTCTCCTCTTTGGCTGTTGATACTGCATAGAGTTCAGCACGTAGCCCCTCCCCTTCCTCCTATTCTGTGCAGGAGCACAGACACCCTTTGTGGCTGAATGGCTGGAGCAGTGTTGTGTAACTCGTCCTGAACCACTTTGTTCATTTCACATTTACAGAGCCAGGGCTGTTGACCAACACTATTTTTTCCAGTGCGCACACAGAATGGAGAGCTAGTGGACCATGAGGAGGTCCATGGTTTTGGACTGAAATTGTATACTGTGCCTTTAATGTATTGATATTATTTGTTAAAATATTATGGGAATGTTATTAAAATATTATTATGTCCAGATAATTAGTCTCAGAAGTTGGTTGCATTTTCTGCTTATCATAAATCAAGTAATTTCAAACACATTCAGTGATGTTGAGGTCTGGACTCCGGGGTGGTCAGTCCATTGTTCTGAGAACACCAGCAGATTCTTTGATTGATTTGCATTTTTTACTGTTTCTTCGTCTCAGTAACAGCTTCTGGACAGCTACACATCCTTTCAGACCCAAAGCGCTGAGTCGTCTTCTCACAGTGGAAGGATGAACAGAAAAACCTGTGGATGTTTTCAGATCTGATCAGCTTGATTTTCTCCTGAAAAATGCACTTCATGGCTGTTTTGAGTGGTTATCATCTAAATGAAGAGGGTCTCTGGCTTTATGCACAGTACTGTACATGTACAATCCATTCAGGTCTTCTCACTGCTGAAATAGGTGATTAGTGGGATTCAGAGGCTCCTAAATATATGATTAAAAAACCTCAGATTAACTCCACTTGAGGAGCTTCACAGTGATAGACGTGTTCAAAGGTGGGTCAGTGGGAGATCTAAGGACACTGAAATACTCTCTGCACTGACAGAGAACAGACTGTCAGGATGATGGAGATGGAGAGAGAAATGACTGTAGTTCTTTAGGAGGTCCCTAAACCCAAAGTGAGGAGCTGCTGAGTCTCACAGAGAGACGCAGGAGGAGATCCAGAACTCTATTAGACTCATATTAGCAACACTACTTTTACTCTGAAAGGCACTGCAGCTTGTTACAGGTAAATGTGTAATCAGAGTGACAGATACAGTGCATCACTCTCTCATTCTCAAATATGAGCAGTGATTAAAAAACCTGCTAAAATGTTCTGAGAATATTATTACATTATTAGAACGTGTAGGTAACGTTAGGCAAAGTTGTGGGAACGTTCCCTGCTAACTAGGCGATATGGACCTCAACACACCAGAAGAACTTAGGAGCTGCTGTGGTGGGCCGCCTTACTCTGAACCACAAACCCCATGTGCTCAGACTAGACCTGTACTGAGGTCATTACAGGTTTAACAGTAAACAAAATAAAGCAGCTGTGCTGTGGATTTCTTACAAGACTGTTTATCCAAACCAGTGTGAATGAACTGAATGAACTGATGTGAACAGCAGCACCGTGTTCTGTTAAACACCTGTCTGAATGATTATAATGCTGTTTATTTTAAAAAGCAGTGAATGCACTTCATTTTTTAATATTTAATATTTCTATGGAAAATATCTGCTGCACAGTTTACAGATAATTCAGTATCTGTATTCTGTTACGCCTCTTCTTCACCTCTTGTTAGTTCTAAGGAGGAAATGCAGCTGTGCTGCCACCTTGTGGACAGAGAAAACAACAGCAGCAGTGAATGTTTAATGGAAAGTTATTTTCAGGACAATTCCAGGAGAATAAGAAACTTTGAATCTACAATATATCAACCAGAGTTAAATCAGCTGAAAATGTCTGTTTACAGACACTCAGAGCTCGTGTTTTTACTGACCGCATATGAAGAGCCGGTGGACGCTGCAGAGCTTGGGTGCCTACAAATCTTATATTAGTTCTGTTTCTAATCCCATCATTTTTCGAATGTTTCAGGGAAACATCAAGAGCATATAAACCAGATCTAATCATGTCATTTTCTCTTCCACTCTTACAAGAATACAAAACAGAGAAATGTTTTGTTTTATTTTGTGTTTGACAGCTAATCTGATGATGTCCTGTTTTACTCTGACACTGCATATTCACTGACATACATCACACAAAACAGGTTTGTTTGTTTGTTTGTTTGTTTGTTTGTTGGTTTGTTTGAGGCTATAATGTAGCGGTAATCCAGTCTGTGTGGAGGTAGTTGAAGTTGATTGCAGCTTTTGGTTATACAGCGTTCAGTTTACTGCTTATGATTATATTTATTATAGTTATGAACTATTTGAGTGAAACACTGTAACAAATAAAGCTGCCAAAAAGTGAGGAGCCTTAGAAAATCCAAAATTTCTGAAAATTTCTTCTTGTAAACTTTGTGTTTAAACTGTGTCTCTGAAATGGTTTAAATATGTATTTTATTCTGTATCAGTCTACAATCAAATGACCAACAGTCTCTGTCTCTGACCATTCCAGCGTTGGACACACTGTAGATTTTATGAAACAGCTCCATTTCACAGTGTTCCTCACTGAGAGTCTCTCAGAGTCGCCAGTCACAGTATAGATTTTTATTTCCCTCATATTAATTTACACAACAAGTTTAACACAGTTTCATTTTCATCTTCTCTACAGTCTCCGAACAGAATAACTCCATGATAATTATGATCAATTATCCTCCAATATATTAAAATCAGTGTCTACATTAAACACATTAGCTGAGTGTGAATGAACACTTGGGGCTCTGAGCTCAGTCGGTAAAGGGGATGAAATCCTACACAATATGTGTGATATTTAACTCCTCTCTGTCAGAGTGTAGTGATGATATGAGTGACTGAAGAAAAGCAGCACCGGATATGGAGTTTCATTATTAATGTGCTAATCAGAGAAAACACAGAGCAGAAAGGGTTAACTGCTCATTATAATATTCTGCAGCTTCATTTATATTCAAGTAGTTATGTGAATCTTGAAAAGAAACAAATACATAATTCATACAGCATAACTAAGTGATTTGTTTGTGGGGGAGGTGCTAATAAATATATCAGCTAATAGAACTTCCAGTCACTTGTTTTCCTCTATTTCTGATTATTCCTGTGTGCACACTGTTGAGTGGGTTCTTGTGCATTAATAGAGTACTAAATTTGTAAGGGGGGTCATAGCTGAGCTGTGATACCACAGGGAGAGGTCATCATTCCATTACAGTGGTGGTTACTTAAAGGTGTAAATCAGTAGCTTACTAACCGCTCACACTTACAACTAGTAGTCAACGCGAAGAGCTCAGCTCAGCTCACTCCTAAAGCAAGGTAATGGCCTGAGGGGGCGCTACAGTGGTAACAGTAATACTGATTGTTTCGTGGCGGTTTTTGTTTTGTGTGTGTTTTCTCTGTAGTGTCTGTTGTGTGTAGCTCCGCCTCCCGTCCCTTGGTTTCAACTAGGTCCTGTAGAGGAGCATAACAGGCGCGTTCAGCGGAGTAGTGTCTTATTCGTTCTGGAAGCTTCGGGTCGAAGAGGAAGCAGCGGCCATGTCTGGAAGAGGGAAGGGAGGTAAAGGTCTGGGTAAAGGAGGCGCTAAGCGTCACCGCAAAGTGCTCCGCGACAACATCCAGGGTATCACCAAGCCGGCTATCCGCCGTCTGGCTCGCCGTGGCGGCGTCAAGCGTATTTCGGGTCTGATCTACGAGGAGACTCGCGGCGTGCTCAAGGTGTTCCTTGAGAACGTGATCAGGGACGCCGTCACCTACACCGAGCACGCCAAGAGGAAGACCGTTACCGCCATGGATGTGGTTTACGCTCTGAAGCGTCAGGGCCGAACCCTGTACGGCTTCGGAGGTTAGACGCTCGACTCAAACAACGACAAACCCAACGGCTCTTTTAAGAGCCCCCCACACTCCCACCAGAAGAGCTGCTCTTTATGACTCATTTAATGTTGATGGAAACACCCGCTTGTCTGTTTTTAGTCTATGAAGAACGTGATGGAGACCTTAATCTACTACCAGAACAGCCATAGAGAGTGATGGAGAGTATTTTATATTTAGGTTGTGCTGCTCTGAGTTACTCTAACCGCGTTTTCTGAAATCGTTTAGTCAGTAAAGTCGTTATTGTTCAAGTAACGCAAGTTCGCCTTTTGCAGCAGAAACTGTCAAACACCAGCGCTGTTCTCCAGCAGAACCAGATAAACCCGTTCAAGAGCCCTTAGAAGAAGCTTCTATGCGTTACATGGATCTGTTTAACTCTGAAACACGGAATGAGTATTGGAGAAATAGTTTTTAAATAAAGTTGTTTTCTAAGTAAGAGGTGTTTTTTTTTTTTAAATCAAGACCATCCAACAGCAGTTTGAGAACTAAAATACACAATAAAAACATGATTTATGAAAACTTGTTAAAATGGAAATGTCTGCTTTGGCAGAACTCAAAACCTCTCAAAAGTGTTTTGACACTGTTTTATGAAATAGAACAATAAAAAAAAAAACGTGCTTATATTTGGACAAATGTGCTGTAGAGGACACACAGTACCAAAGAATGCGCGGGAAGGCGAACAAAGGAAAGTCCTTAGCGGGGAGGAGGAGAGATGTCCGCCAAGCGAGCCGTTGATTGTTGTCCAATGGCCGTTTGACAGCACTGTGAAGGCGGAGCTTTGTCTGTTTTGAATATGGGAGTGTAAATAAGCCGGTGCTGGGCGCTCCTTCTCATTCTTCAGTTCTACTTGACGCAGAGGAAAACCATGCCTGAACCCGCGAAGTCCGCGCCGAAGAAGGGCTCTAAGAAAGCCGTGACCAAGACGGCTAGCAAAGGAGGCAAGAAGCGCAGAAAGTCCAGGAGGGAGAGCTACGCTATCTACGTGTACAAAGTGCTGAAGCAGGTCCACCCCGACACCGGCATTTCCTCCAAGGCGATGGGCATCATGAACTCGTTCGTCAACGACATCTTCGAGCGCATCGCCGGTGAGTCGTCCCGTTTGGCTCATTACAACAAGCGTTCCACCATCACGTCCAGGGAGATCCAGACCGCCGTGCGCCTGCTTCTTCCCGGTGAGTTGGCCAAGCACGCCGTGTCCGAGGGTACCAAGGCCGTCACCAAGTACACGAGCTCCAAGTAAGAAGTGACGAAGACTTGATCAAACCCAACGGCTCTTTTAAGAGCCACCCACGGTTTCGCTTAAAGAGTTTTTTGTTTTGTTCGTGAGAATCAAAGCGGGATTTTTTGAAGGCAGGGGTGCGGGGAGAAAACGTTACGTAAGGTTTTTTGCGAATTTTCCCGCGCAATTTCTTTGCATATAGTTTGTGTAAGGGGCACTGATAAAATAGTGTGCACACACACAAACATATGTACATATATGTGTGTATATATAGGGTGTGTGTGTATGTGTGTATGTATATATATATATATATATATATATATATATATATGGTCTCAAATGTGAGTTTTTTTTTTTTTTTTTTTCCTTTCAAGAGTGCATGTATGTTTATTAATGTTGTTTTGTGCAGTTTGTATTGACAATAAAAGCTGTTGACTTGCAATGTTCTTTGTGTATAAACTGCATTAAAATAAGGGAAAAAAAACTGACTACTGAATAAACAAATCAAGGCCGTGGTGCACGTTCTGCAGAGTTATGCTGCAGTTAAGTAAGTTTTATCTCCAGCCAGTTCTAAGGCTGGTGAATTCAAAGTATTTTTTCTTAACCCTGCTCAGTGCTTAACTTTGCTATTTATTTATTTATTTATTTATTTTCCCCCACCCCAGTAACTTTTCCTTGAAAGTGATTATGAACTGGAGTAAAAATATGTTTAGGGCAAGGCCTTACAGTCATATTGAAGTTAGACTGGGGATAAGTTAGTTTACAGCTAGGCCAGAGATGCATGATGAAATCGGAGTCAGTTAACAAAGAAGTTAAAATGAGTCAAAATAAGTTTGGAGCTAAGCTTTAGACTTTTGATTGAAGCTCTAGGAAGAATGAACAGGTACAGGTCGAGACCCCAGGCTTCTGTTGTATGTAGAAAAAATGTGGTCACACAAAAGTGCGTTTATAGCTAGGCTGTAGGCTTGTGATGAATTGTTAAATTGAAAAGTGAGTAAAACTAGGTTTAGAGAAATACCTTAGACTCATGTTAAAGTCAGAGTGAGTGTAAGTGAGTTTACAGCAGGCCTGAGATGTATGATGAAATGGGAGTAAGTAAAAGCAGGTTAGAAGTGAAGCCTTAGCTCTGTGATGTGAAGCCAGGCGTTAGAGTCATGATGTAGTCAGAGTAAGTGAAATTAGTCCTTAGGCCAGTGAAAGTGCCAGTGAGTACAGGTGGGTTAAGAGGTAACTCTTAGGCTATAGCTCATGTTAAAGTAAGCAAAGATAGTTTTACGTTGGTTTATCAATAAGTCTTTGTTTTCTAAAGTAGTCAAAGGAAGTTAAGGTAGCCTCAGGCTAATGATGGCGTTTGTGTGAGAAAGTTATTGGTTATTCAGGCCAATGATGAAGTTAGAGTGAGCAAATGGAGGCTTATAGCTGAGCCTCAGACTTCTACTGTGGTTATAGTGTGTAATAATAGGTGCAGGGCTAAACCTTAGGCTTATTGTGTAGTTAGAGCTCGACCATAAGCACATGATGAGGTTATGAGCTTATGACACTTTTGCTTACTCAAACTTCATTGTAAGCCAAATGTCTTGCTATGTACCTCCTTCCAGTAAGTGAAAGGAGGCTGATGGCTGTGCCTCAGGCTTATAATGTGGTCAAATAAGCAGTAGGTATAGAGTAAGGCCTTTAGCTCATGCTGAAGCTAGAGATAGTGAAAGCAAGTTACTGGCTAGGCCGTAGGCTTATAGTGTAGTGAATGTTAGTAGTTAGGCGTTAGACCACTGATGTAGTTAACATGCGTGAACTGATTTGTGATTATAAGGTAAAAGCAGGTACAGAGCAAACCATTAGACTTTCTATGAAGCTAGAGAAAGCAAAAGGAGCTTTCCAGCTATGCCTCAGGCTTATAGTGTAGATAGAGTAAGTAGCGGTAGGTATAGAGTTAGGCCTTAGGCTTCTGAAGAATTTAGAGTAAGCAAAATGAGCTTTCCAGCTAGGCCTCAGATTTATATTGTAGTCAGAGTAAGTGATGATCGGTTAGAGCTAAGCTTGTTAATTACGGTGAAGTTAGAGTGAGTAATAGTGAGTTCAGGGCTGGGCTTTAGGCTTAAGATATATTTACATAGCATCAGGAGCTTCACAGCTAGGCATCTGGCATCTGGTGTAATCGAAAAAGTAATTGGTTTACAGCAAAGCCTTATGCTGATGAAAAATTTAGATTGAATAGTCATCCTCTAAGGCCTAACTCTCTAGCTACTGTTAATTACTCTAGCTGTAAGGCAGGATATAGAGCTAGGCCTTTGGTTTATGTTTGTATACGTGAGTGAAAAGACATCTATAGAATGAGAAGTTGGAGAAATGAAAGTATTTAGCCTTCCAGCTGGGCCTTTGGCTCATAATGCAGATAAAGTAAATAATATTAGGTTTAGTGATAAAGTTTATGGCGAAGTTGGAGAATGTTAAGGTTGGTTTAGGACAAGGTCTTAGGCTTATGATGAAGTCTGAGTAAACAAAAGGAAGCTTCCAGCAAGGCCTCAGGCTTATACCGTAGTTGGAGTGTATGTAAGAATAGATTTAGAGCTAGACCCCGGGCTTATGATGAAGTTAGATAAAGCAGTAGTAGATATGGGACTTGACTTCAAGCTTTGGAAGTGTTTACATTGAGCATATGTTTACTCAAATCCAGGCCCCAGGCTTACGATGAGGTCAAAGTAAAAGCAGGTAATTAGTAAGTTTCTAGTTACAGTAGGCCCTGTGCCTTAATTGGAGTAAAATAAATAGCGATGGTGTCAGTGCAAGGCCTCAGGTTCATGAAGAAGTTAGAGTAAAGCACAAACCTAAGATCCAGCTCTACAGCTCCTTTTTCTTACTCTATGTATATTTTAAATCTTAGGCTTTGGATGAAGCTAGTCTAAGCAAACGTGACCTTTCAGCTTGGCCCCAGACTTATCATATAAATAGAATATAGACCTTTGTTTTATGAAGAAATTAAAGATTGTAAAAGTCAGTGTAGGGAAAGGTCTTCAGCTTCTGACCAGGTAAGAATAAACAATATGAGCTTTCCTGTTAGGCCTCAGGCTTATAATGTAGGGTTAGAGCTGGGCCCTAGGGCTGTGGTAAAGTTAGAGCGAGAAACTATAGTGCTACAATTAATGAATGTCAAAGTGAGCTTAGGGCAGGGCCTTAGGTTTGTGACTGAGTAAGAATGAGTGAAAATGAGTGAAGTGTGATCTGAAGCATTCCATTAGACTTGTGGTGAAGTTGGAGAAGCACAGAGCAAAGCTTTAGCTCATGTTGTAATTAGAGCAGGCCCAAACCAGCCGTACAGCTTAAAGTAAGGGATATCAGAGTTAGAGCTCGGCCTTAGGTTTATGGTGAAGTTAGATAAAGTGAAAGTAGATTTCGGCTAAAACCTTTGACTTTTGCTGAGGTCATAGTAAGCAAAAGCATGTCTACAGTTAAGCCTTGGACCTATAATAGAAGGATTTGGGCAAGACTTCATTTTCTAGTAGGGTTAGAAGGGGGTTAGTTATGTTGAAGTTCGGGTGAAGCTAATTAGGGTTAGAACGAGGTTGTGATTATTGCTAAGTCAAAGTTTATTTATATAACAGCACATCAGCAGAGAGCAGCTCTGCCCCCAGCGGCGGCCGGCTTACGCGTGTGCTTTACTCGCTTAAAGAAAGCTCATTTTAGCCGTAATTACCGGGGCGCTCGGCCAGTGGGAGTTCACTCACGCCCTCGCCGAGACTCTCCTCGAACGCACCGTTGAGCTCTCCGAAGGCTCGCACCGCCGTTTGCCACCGTTTATCACAGATTATTGAGCTAAATACGCCGCATCTCGTTTAAAGCGGGTGGCGCGCGGCACCATTTCGAGCGCGCCCTGAGAAACGAGGCGTCGCTGCGCGCTCAATCCCGGACTGAGGAAACACGGCAGAGTCTCTTCTGGAGGATCGAACCGTTTGACAGTCGCCAAGCGGCGCTTTCGCTCTTATTTTGCCCGATAAACGCTACAAGAAAACACAAGAGCGCGTCACTGAGGCACGGCTGCACAGCGCCCGCCGGGTTGAGTCTACACCGTTCTCATGTGGCTTTTAAGGGGCCGGCCCGTCGCATGAGAGGGAGGTTCCTCTGAACGGTGCAGCTCCGCTCGCAGCAAAAGCAGAACGATGGCAGAAACCGCTCCCGCTCCAGCCGCCGCCGCGCCGGCCAAAGCTCCCAAGAAGAAAAGCGCCGCCCGGCCCAAGAAAGCCGGGCCCAGCGTCGGCGAGCTCATCGTCAAGGCTGTTTCTCAGTCTAAGGAGAGGAGCGGCGTGTCTCTCGCCGCCCTCAAGAAAGCTCTGGCCGCCGGCGGCTACGACGTGGACAAGAACAACTCCCGCGTCAAGATCGCCGTCAAGAGCCTCGTGACGAAGGGCACTCTGGTGCAGACCAAAGGCACCGGCGCGTCGGGCTCCTTCAAGCTCAACAAGAAACAAGCCGAGCCCAAGAAGAAGCCGGCAAAGAAAGCGGCGCCAAAAGCCAAGAAGGCGGCCGCCAAAAAGCCCGCCGCTGCTAAGAAGCCCAAGAAGGTAGCGGCGAAGAAGCCCGCGGCCGCTAAGAAATCGCCAAAGAAAGCCAAAAAACCGGCGGCGGCCAAGAAAGTCGCCAAGTCTCCCAAGAAAGCTAAGAAGCCCGCGGCCCCGAAGAAGGCGGCCAAGAGCCCGAAGAAAGCGAAGGCGGTCAAGCCCAAAGCAGCCAAGCCCAAGGCGGCGGAAAAGGCCGCCCCCAAAAAGAAGTAGACGCGCCGTTTTACCTTCCTGTCCTGTTTTCTCCGCTCAAAAACGGCTCTTTCAAGAGCCACACCCACATTTTCCTCTCAAAGAGCTCGGTTTTCATTTTCCCTACACAGTCTTAATTACTGAATAATCATATTATCAGAAAATACCAGACTCGACACAATAATCGAGCTGCCACATGGATGAGAATTGGGGGGGTATAGCGGAAAACAAGGACGCGTATACGTTTCGCGTATATGTCTCACACACAGGCGGCAACACGGAGGGGAGGGGGAGAAGCGGGGTCAGTGGAAGAGAACGGTGGGCGGGACCTAGAGTTTGACGGCGATAATACGATTGGTTGTTGCATTTCAGCCAATAGAAACGCAGCCGCTTTAGTTATAAGAAGCGCGCTCGGACACCGGGACTCATTATTTCAGCTTAGTTTGGTGGAGTTGAGGGAAGTGCAAAATGAGTGGAAGAGGTAAAACCGGCGGGAAGGCTAGAACCAAGGCTAAGACTCGCTCCTCCCGCGCCGGGCTGCAGTTTCCTGTGGGCCGTGTTCACAGGCTTCTTCGTAAAGGTAATTATGCCGAGCGCGTCGGCGCTGGTGCTCCCGTCTACTTGGCCGCTGTGCTGGAATATCTTACCGCTGAGATCCTCGAGTTGGCCGGAAATGCCGCTCGCGACAACAAGAAGACTCGTATCATTCCTCGTCACCTGCAGCTGGCCGTTCGTAACGACGAGGAGCTCAACAAACTGCTCGGAGGAGTCACCATCGCTCAGGGTGGCGTTCTGCCCAACATTCAGGCCGTCCTGCTGCCCAAGAAGACCGAGAAGGCGGCCAAGACCAAGTAAACTGGTTTTCTCAGATTTTTCTGTCACCAAAGGCTCTTTTAAGAGCCGCCCACCTCCGCGACGAAAGTGCAGTTTTTCTTTGTCAACCAGCCGCTCCACCCCAAAATAAAAAGCCGCCTATCAGTCTAGGATTACTGTTTACATGGGCGTGAAACAAGACCCATCACCCCCTCCTCCCCCGACTGCATACTGAATATTTAGAAGCTCTTTCTACTCAAACACCTAAAGCAAACACACACAAGCGTCCATATAAAGCCGCCAGTTCAGATGGAGTAAAGCGTTATAATTACGCATAAGGTATAAAAAAAATAATGTCGAATTTCCAATTAAAAGCTCTACATATTAACAAAAACAGGGCTGTGGTACAGGAGCCACCACGGCGTTCGGGCAAAGTCTCGTTTTTCCAAAATTTTGGCGCGAAAGAAGACGCCCAATAACGCTTGGCCGGTGCGTGGACGACTGTCCAATGGGAGGCGGGCACATTCAAAACGCCCAATGAGAGGCGAGCAGCTGCAGCGCTTAAAAGAGCCGTGATGTGTGCGCGAGCTTATTCTCCTTCTTTCTCCCCGAGGAGAACAGATTGTGACGTTATGGCAAGAACCAAGCAGACCGCCCGTAAGTCCACTGGTGGTAAAGCACCGAGGAAGCAGCTGGCTACCAAGGCTGCTCGTAAGAGCGCTCCGGCCACCGGCGGCGTCAAGAAGCCTCACCGTTACAGGCCCGGTACCGTGGCTCTCAGGGAGATCCGTCGCTACCAGAAATCCACAGAGCTGCTCATCCGCAAGCTGCCCTTCCAGCGCCTGGTGCGGGAGATCGCTCAGGATTTCAAGACCGATCTCCGCTTCCAGAGCTCCGCCGTCATGGCCCTGCAGGAGGCTAGCGAGGCGTACTTGGTGGGTCTGTTCGAGGACACTAATCTGTGCGCCATCCACGCCAAGAGAGTCACCATCATGCCTAAGGACATCCAGCTGGCCCGCCGGATCCGCGGAGAGCGCGCTTAGATTAAACAGAGCGACCACAAGTTACTCAAACACCCCAAAGGCTCTTTTAAGAGCCGCCGAACTGTTTCAGTCCAAAAGAGCGAGTTTTCTAGCGAACTCGGGTTCTTTTGTGTTGTGACGTAGTAACAGATCTCGAAGGGGAGCCCGCGAGCTTCTCTCTGCGGAGTCGTGAGGAGCTGCTTAGTTCCAGCTCAGATGTTCATCCCGTGTTTGATCAGAGTCCGTAGTGCAGTGAGGAGTTTCGAGTCTTACAGAAAGAGATGAGAATGAACTCGTTAGTACTTCATCACGGAAATGAGCGGCTGGAGAATCAGAAGTGCAGTACAGGCGAGTAGTGTGAGCGCGTGACTAGCGCTACGAACATCGCGTACATAGTAAATATGTAGGGCTGCGTTAGTGGAGTAAGAGTTAAGCGAGAAAATCACCCTGTGAGTGTGTGTGCGCGCGGAAGAAAATAATAAAGAAACACGACTAATAAAATCACCACAAATGACCAAAATGAACCAAAGTGGTGGAAAGTCCAGTCT